TTTTTTTTTTAATCAATGTTATGTTTTATGTTCCCGACCAGGGATCGATGAATCTCACTTTGCACCACAGTCACATGGTCAACCCGATTTTTAAAGCTGCTGAGAAATGTAGAGTAGCGGTGTGCCATGTTTTTGGTGGCTAGCTAGTTTGCTTATGTTTTGCTCTGTTTAGCTATAAAAAACATGCTGCTGCCATACAGTGTATGGTCTCTAAAGGTCTTTGCTGAAGCTCTGAGCAGGTCTAGGTGTGTTTTTGAACTAGATTCCTGGTCCTCAGTTGACCCTATTTCAGGCGGTTTGAAAATCACCTACCCAATTAGATGACTGGCAGTTCAGCGCAATGAAAGGCAAAAGAAAAACGGAGGCACCAGCCATTCCACCAGGCACCACATTAAAGCGTTATGACGTTTCTTGTCTCCGCAGCATGGGTAGGAGCCCTGGCAATGGGCATGATCTTCTTCTGTTCTCCCATTGTGAGTATATTCACTGACCGTTTGGGCTGCCGAATCACAGCGACCACAGGAGCTGCTGTTGCTTTCATTGGTCTTCATACCAGCTCCTTCACCAGGTAAGGTGGGGGCTGCTAGCCATGCCCCCAGGGCTGAGGGTTGGCTTCTTTCTGCACTTCAGCCGGAGACACCCTGCTCGTTGCAGATCCCCAATGGCATCCTTCAAGTAGGGTCCTGAAAGTCCTTCTTCCAAGGATCATTGTCCAATAAGATTTGTCTAGCTGGGATCTTTACTATGCATCACTAAGGAATCACTCCCAGGAAAACCCAAGGGCTTCCAAGTGTTCAAAGGAACTCCAGCCTGAGAGTTCATATAGCTGGGCCCGAGGCCCGTTTGGCCCACTGAATGGCTATGGGAACATCGATGAGTCCATTTCCCTCCCGGGGACTCATTTTCTACATCTATGACATAGAAAGGGATTAGATCCGATGATGTGTTCCGGTCTCTTCCAGCCTTGCTGTTCTCTTCTTCTCCAATGGGCCATTCACCTCCTGGCATACCCCGCCTTCCTTCCTAGAAACGACCTTATTACCTAGTGGAGCCTGTTTGAACACTTAGCTTTTCAAGATTTCTGAGGGAATCTTATGATGGACAAGAGGTATGCTAAACCAGTGTCTCAGCCTCCCTAATGCTGCGACCCTTTAATACAGTTCCTCATGTGGTGGTGACCCCCCAACCATAACATTTTTGTTGCTACTTCATAACTGTAAGTTTGCTACTGTTATGAATCGGGCGAACCCTGCAGAAGGGTCATGCGATCCCTGAAGGGGTCGCGACCCACAGGTTGAGAACCGCTGTGCTAAACCCAAGCATGAAGAGCCCTGGTAGTGTAGTGGACTATGTGTTGCAGTGCTAACTGCAAGGGCCACAGTTTGAAACCACCAGTTGCTCCATGGGAGAAAGACAAGGCTTTCTACTCCCAGAAAGTGACAGTTTTAGAAACCCACAGGAGCAGTTTTACCCTGTCCTATAGGGTAACTATGAGTTGGAATTGACTCGATGGCAGTGAGTTTTTTTTAGGGGGGGGGGCAAGCCTAAGGATGTTTCGCATTTCTGGTCCTTTCCCTGGCATCTTTGCCTGCCAATGCATGCACAATTTGGGACAAAGATTCATGTTTTGCTCACGAAAAAGGATTTTAATAGTGTCCCCTCATGAAATGCAAACCCTCGTCCCACTGGAACAACTTGGTAGAATCAAGTGAAGCGCAAGTCACAAGTTTCTTTTCCCTGATTTCTTTTCTACCATCTCTGCCAAAGAATGTCTGTAGGGGAGGGGATCATTGAAGGCTTCACATGATAGCCTGAGAAACACGGGTTTCCTAAAAAAAAAAAAATCTATTAAACACTCAAAATCTTAAAAAAAAGAGAGAGAGAGAAAGAGAGATCAAACGTACTGCTTGATAGGGATTAGTAGAACCCACAAGGCTATGTCATCTGTCACCCTTCATGTCTGGAACGGAACTTACTCCTGTGACTCGACTTTCAGCCAAACAGTAAACAAGCCAATAAGGTGAACAAGAGTCATCGGGGAGGTACCCAGTTCTTAGAACAATATCAAGAAGGCAGTAGTTCCCCAGGGATGAATCTCAGAAGACAGAGAAGGGTCAGAAAGAAGGATGAGTGGAAAGACTAAGCACAGGGAGGAAGGGCACCGAGGACTGTTACGTTATGGGGAATGCATTCAGTGTCACAAGACAAAATAAATATTCATTGCTGAATGGAAGACCAGTCTGCTCTGTAAACTTTCACCCGAATCGCAATGAAAAGCGTTCCTTAAATCGGACTCTCTGCCAAAAACACTTTGTGAATTTTAGTACCTCCTACTTCTGATCTGCTGGGCCAATGTAAGACAACACAAGCCTGAAAACGTTGGCAATGGCCACAGTGACGTATCGGGAATGAAGGCAGAGCTAGCATGTCTGAGGCTTTCTTTTGGAGGTTCGCTCCCCAGAGCAGAGTCTTCATCGTGGAGGATGTTAATTGTGTTCTGCTACAAGTGGATCCTCTGAGGGTGAGCCAGCTTTACGAGTCGAGAATTTCCAGCTACCCTGTCTACCCTCCAGTAGAGCTTAAAATTGCCTTGTAATCATTTTTTAACACTGTCCCATCCAATTGGTAGAGAGAAGGGAAAAACCATGTCTTCCCTGGGAGCTGCTCAGGGAAGCGGCTTAAGGCCATTACAGAACATTTCTCATGGCTGGCTTGATTTCCCCCCTATCAGCCTTGCGGGAAGGAGCTAGGCCTGAGAAGAGGCTCCAGTCCCAGGCCTACACGGCAGACGCCTGTTTAGTATGGCTGAGCAGAGCAAAGCGTTCATCTAAGCAAATGAGTTACATATGGGCTGCATTTCCCTTCCAAATCCACATGGGTTCAGTTCCGGGAGAAGGAACTCAGACGTGGTGCTTACTGCTGTCGCTCTTTAGGTCCCTGGAGCATGAGTTCTGTGCTCCAGCCCCAACTCTTCCCACTCCCTTGGTTTTCATCCAAGGACTGGATCTACCCATTGAGAAGAACTCTCTGACCATTAACTGTAGTAAATAATTCGTGGTAAACAATGAAGTGGGTGGGTAAAGTCTAGTGCACACTAGGTGGAGGGATCAAAAAGAAAACAGAATTCTTCGGTAGCTTATACCCATCTTGTCTGGGGTAGAAGGCTGACCTGGTGATGATTTTTTTTTCCTTCTGAATCTGCCTTCTGTGAACAGAGGCCGTGGCCCCAGCAAGGTCCACAACTTTTTTGGGACTCCATTTCCCGTCAACCAGCCAGCCTGCCCCCCGGGCCAGCCTCAGGCTACTCCGGGGTGCTAATCCATACCATGTTCAGCAGCAAAGGCCGGAATCGAGACGTTTAAAGGGATTCTCAAGAGACCACCAGTCATTTCTCTAAAACATTAATAGCCTTGAACATGAAGAGAAAAACATGAACTCCCCCAGGATCTTGAACATTTGCACACTTCTGTTGTTACTTTTGATGAAAGCTGTGGCTACCAACCTATCCATGGTGATAATGGCTATGGCTTTTCTCCATCTAGGTGCCTTGAGGCGAAAGTGTTCTCTGTAAGGTACAGACTTGCTCCTCATCCAGTCTTTGCATAGGCTGCTTCGGACTTGCTTTGGAACAGTATTCTTGGATGGGGGATCGTGGAATGCATACCAGAGTCCTGAAGACCTAGATTCAAGCCCAAGCTTTGTTGATCTTTAGTTATGTGCCTTGGGCCAATACTTTACCCTTCTGAGCCTGATCTGAATAATGGGAATCAGGAGGCCCTGTTCCTTGTCTTCTCTGAGTGTCAGTGGCAAGTGGGCCTGTGGGTTAAGGGTGGAAGAGGGGAGATCTGAAGGGAGAAGGGAAGGTGGTTGCTGGTCAGGCTGTTGAGAACAGCTCTTGGTGTCTCCTCTACAGCTCCTTAAGCCTGCGATACTTCACCTATGGGATTCTCTTTGGTTGTGGCTGCTCCTTCGCCTTTCAGCCATCTCTCGTCATCCTGGGCCACTATTTCCAACGCCGCCTGGGCCTCGCCAATGGTGTGGTGTCTGCTGGGAGTAGCATCTTCTCCATGTCTTTCCCCTTCCTCATCAATGTCCTGGGGGACAAGATCAAGCTGGCCCAAACCTTCCAGGTGCTGAGTACCTTTATGTTTGTCCTCATGCTGCTTTCACTCACCTACCGGCCCCTCCTGCCCAGCTCTCAGGACACCCCAAGCAAGAGGGGTGCCCACAGCCTGCACCAGCGCATTCTGGCTCAGCTCAGGAAGTACTTCAACATGCGAGTGTTCCGACAACGTACCTACCGCATCTGGGCCTTCGGGATTGCTGCCGCTGCTCTGGGCTACTTCATTCCTTATGTACACCTGGTGAGGAATATGAGGGTGGCGCTATCCCACGTGGCCTTAGGGAGCTGTCCTCAACTTGCCTGGAGTCCAGAGGGAGGGGTGGAGCATATTGAAAGAGTAGAGCTGAAACTTTTGAAAAAGAACAAAACAGTGATTGGCGACCGAGGGAAGGGAAGGGCACAGACTAGGAGAGACCTTAAAGGGAAATGGAGGCAGTTCCCCAAGGGAAGGCCAACTGGCAGTGGTTTCCCACATGATGACTCTGGATAGCTTATTCAGGTGGAGATAAGCATTAACTGGATGCAAGGGACTGACCAAAATAACCCAAAGGTTTTCTAAGGTTCTTGCATCCAGATGATTTTGTTTAGGAAACAATATATATCAGATCTCTCTCTGTCTCTCTCTCTCTCTTTCTCTCTGAGCTTTATAACCTGTAGTAGTTGACTAAAGGTTCTACAGTAACCCGCAGTAGAGTAACCCATTCAGTGTCGTTTAACCTAGCACATACAAAATTTATGTGGCCACAGAACCTTTGATTGTAACCAGTTGCTGCCCTCCACCAACCTTGTGTTTCTTAGAACATGCTTCTGGAAGAGTTGCCTTGAAGCTGATGGATCTCTCTGCTGACCTGCTGTTGCTCCAGACTATTAATTTTCGGAAGGAGATTATGTAGATTGTAGAGAAACTTCTGGATTTCTCAAATTATAGGACTGTGCTCTGTCCTGCAAAGACTGGAAGGGACTTATATCTACCCACCCCTTTCAGTTCTTGCTCAGAAGCCTCCCAAGTAACCAAGGGAGGGGAGACCTGTGTAGATCTTTAGGCTGTTGCAAGTAGTTAGAAAGATTGTCTTGGATACAGAGAGAAGGCTCTTGCCCCAATCTAGGGAAGGAAGCATTGGAGGGTGCTGAATATGTAATCGGTCAACCAGTTAGCTTATCTTCCTCCTCCTGTCCTTGGGGACTTCGTGCTGTGCTTTTCAGATGAAGTATGTGGAAGAGGAGTTCTCAGAAATCAAGGAGACCTGGGTGCTCTTGGTGTGTATTGGGGCTACCTCAGGCCTTGGGCGTCTTGTGTCAGGCCGTATCAGCGACTCCATTCCTGGACTTAAGAAGATCTACTTGCAGGTGAGTGTGGCCATCCTGTCCGTTGTTGGGAGGGATAGTTTGTTACAGATGCCAGGCTATCTTCAGCCTTTGGAAATATGTAGCATGGTAGGGTGTGCAATTGTGCCCTGGATCCCAGCTCTGACCCCAGTGTGTTGTGTGTCATTCGAAAGTCATTCAAATGCTCTGAGCCTCAGTTTTCCCTCTTTTCAAAGGAGGAGTAGCTTCCTTGTTCTGCCCTCCCTCAGCAAGATGGCATGAAGACCCAATGGGAACAGAGCGTATGGGACCACTGGAAAATAAAACTTGCTCCCATTTAGTAGATTCTGGCTCACAGAAAGCCCATGTGTGTCAGTGTAGCGCTTTCTTCCATACCATTTTCCTGGTTTGACCTTTGGGCAGCAAGTTTGACCTTTGGGCAGTCACACACATTTCCATTAGTAGCCCAGCACTCAACCTTTTGTGTCACCAGGAACTCCTGTTTGAACACGTGATGGAGACGTTTCTATTTACTCCCATCTGTAAGGGGAAATTGAGGGTGGGGGCTAGATGCTGCTCTAGAGACCCCATCTTATTGGCTATCTTCGAGCTGCTTAGGCATCTGCAGCGCCCTGTGGCACAGAGTCTGGCTCTTCTAGCTCGGGTCCCAGATCCATCACCATTCTTCCAGAGCGCCTTGGCACATGGCATGGGTTCCCAGTGGACACACACACACACACACACACACACACACACAATTGCCAGATAAGACTAGACCTCACTGATCCTCTTTAGGCCTGTTTCCTCATGTTACAGCGAGAATTATTCTTATCTTTACTATCTCACCTCCCAGATGAACATTAAAAGAAATGTCAGTGTGAGCAGACTTTGGGAAGTAAAATATGCTATAGCCACACAAAACTTCCATCCTTCTGACAGTGATACAGGCAGCCTCATATTGCGAGAAGCAGCCACCTGCATGCATGAAACCAGGCTCTAGGCTGGTTTTAATACAAACAACTACTCAGGTGGCCTGTCTTTGTTTAGGCAGCAGCAATATTACCTTGCTGACCTGGCTCATGCTTTTGGCTCCTGCAAGGAGTATACCAGGAAGTGGCCGACTATGGAACTGTACGAAGGGGTAAAAGCACGATCATTCAGGAAGTTGTTTTGAGTCTGGACTCGTTTGCCTGCTAGAGAAGTCTTAAAAACCCTCCTAAGGGCCCCCAGCTCTGCTAACAGACGAGATTTGTCTTCTCTTAGCAGGCCCCAGTGCTTTCACAAATAGCCTTCAGATAAATAGGTCAGGGATGGGATTGTGATTTTCGCTTTCGTTTGAAAACTTTCTCTGTGGACAAAGACTGGGCTTTCTGCTACTATAAACAGTCGCAATCTCGGAGACTCACAGGGGCCGTGCCTTATATAGGTTTGCTCTGAATCAGTATTAACTTGATGGCAGTGAGTTTGAGGTTTGCAGGAGCTGCACAAGCTAGGAGAGCACTTTGATCCAGCAAGCCCCGCCTCTCACTGCACTGATGGGGATGCTGAGAGAGCGGCTCACGCGGCCAGGACTGACAGAGTTGAACTCCCGTGCAGCAGTCTTCTCATATTCTACTTTGCCCTAAGTGATAACCGAGACCAGTCTCAGAACTCATAAGTGACCGGACTAGGATCAAACTAAGAACTGTGGTGAAGATAAACCAATTATGAACATATGGATTTCTATGTAGATTTTAGCAAGTGCCTTGTCTGGGTGCCGTTGTTCCCAATTGTGGCTTTGCCAGCCTTTTCCACGTGTCACCGCTGTAGGTTGTCCCTGTCAGTAACTTTAGGATGCCAAAGCATTCTGGAAATCAAGATGGGCTGGTCTTTGGCCACGACGTCATCCTGAGGAGAGGCAGAAGTCTCTCTCTGCCTAGCCATGTAGTTAGATCATTGGATTCTCACAACAACCCCGAACAAAATTCTGAGCAGCCTTTGCTTTCCATTGTGTAGAGGGTATTCATGGGGCGGTGGAAGCATTAGCTAGGCTTGGACCTAGTGCTTCTTCTTCCCCACCTACCTCTCACTCCCCCTTTCCCCAGCTTAATAGTTAACATAAGTTAAAATAGTTGTAGAACATTCTAATTTAAACATATATTCCTCAACTCGTAGACTAAGTCCCTCGATTTAAAAGTTGGAGAACTAAGACCTAGACCAGGAAAGTGAGTGCTTCAGACGAAGAGCACAGGATAAAAGATGAACTTCGTTCTCTTCAATTCCTTAAGATTCCATCACAGGAATTTGGAGGTAGCCTTTTACAATGGAAGGACCTCTGGTGTCACAATGGGTTAAGCGATAGGCAGTTGGAAGTTTGAACCCATGAGCAAAAGGCAAGACTGTCTGCTCCCTTCATTCTTACACTCTTGGAAACGATATACTCTGTCGTCTAGGGCCACTATGAGCTGTGATTGACCGGAAGGCAGAGGGTTGGGTTTGGTTTCACAACAGACACACACAAAAATGGCATGCCTCCCTTTCTCCCCAGGTCAGTGTAGGCATACACACTTGTGGGAGAAAAAGAGTAGATACAGGCCCGATATTTTTGTTTTCTTTTCTTTTTTAAAACAGTTTTATTAGCACTTCATCCACATGACAAACAATAATTCAATCATATCAAGTAGACTTGTACAATTATCACTACATTCAATTCTAGAACATTTTCTATTTCATTATACTCATTGTTATTCATGGAATTATTTTTTCTAACTGTGGCAAAAATATACGCAACAAAATATTCCCTAATTCCACAACTTCTCCATGTACAATTCAGTGCCATTAATTGTACCCTTCGTGTCGTACACCCATGATTGCTATCCTTTTGCAATTTATTCTGCCACCATTAACATAAACGCTATGCCCCCCTAAGCAGCAATTCTTTCCCCTTTCCCCATGGTAACCATAGGTCAAGTTGTTGTTGTTGTTTTATGTGGTTTCTTTTATTCACATATCACATACTTCCGTGGTTAAATCGCTTTTAAAATGAGTTGTGTACACATCATCACAATCAATTCTAGTGCTTCCTTTCCCGCCTGTATTCATTGTTTGCTTCCCCAATCCCCTCACCCTTCTCACTTCCCACCCCCTGTCCACCTCCTCGATAGACCATTGCGTCACTTATTGTCTCTCTGCACCCACTCCTTCTGTGCTTCACAAGCTGGCAAACCCACCCGAAACAATCAAAACGAAAAACAAAATTGGCAAGAAAATAATAAGATAAAGATAAAAATGCAAATAAAGAGTAAGAAAGAAAAGACCACCATCAATATTTAAAAAGCCAGACAAGAAATGTCTGTTGTGGAACAAGCAAGAAATACTGGCATCTCCAGATTTGGGTGAGCCACTCTCACCAAGCCCCGACCCACTGGGCCCTGTGGCTCCTGCCCTTGGTGAGGACATGCACATGCACCTGGCTTTCAGGACGGCCTCTTTGCGGTGGGTGGGTGGGTGGGGGGAGCTAGTTCCTGAGGCCTGATTGTAGTTCCAAGAGAAATTTTTAATTTCAGAACCCTGGCAAGGCCTCTTGGAGGCTATTACAAAAGAGCCAGATCCAACAGCTAGTAAATAGAATCCATTAAAATCCGTTTATGGTGATCCTTTGTGTTGTGTCATGGTATTAACTCTCAATTGCCAAAATTGGCTCGACTGATAGTTGGGGCTGCTTTTACCTCCTAGCTATTTGCCGTGAATCTTCTAGAGTAGAAGCTGGGAGTGTCTGGATTCTTAATCCTAGCTTCTGTCTAGCCACCCCATAACAGCATGGATAAAATGCAAAGGTTCCCCAACTAAGAGATTTCCTTAGGTGGCATTGCCAAGACATTGTTTCTCTCCAAATATGATCTGATCATCCTAAATCCCCTGCCAGCACCACAGAAAATCTTTGGAGCACCAAACAGCCTTGATCTTCCCATTTGTTCCGTATGTTCCTGGGTAAGTCAATTTATCTCTGCAAAATATTGGACACTCCCTGGACCTTGATAAGTAGGTTAGATCTTGGCTCTGACCATAGGGACCCTTGACTCGTGGCTGCTGTGAGCAGAAGAGGGAGTGGTGCTCCTTTCTCTGCCTGCAATGAGGTCTTCCGTCGAGCTCACCAATACGGGGTCCAAATGAAAGACAGCTGTGTGTCCAGTATGTCCTTTTATTTAGAGGATAAAACCATCCTCTGCAAAGACAATTTTGGAAGCAGTTCGCTGATCCCAAATAAATTTTTCGTTCTGCCACAGAAATCGTAGTGGCTTTTCAGTGCTCTGGGCCCCCGAGACACCCTCCCAGTGGCTTGATTCTCCCGAAAGTCCCATTTGCTGCCCTCTCAGGTGCTCAGCCAAGCTCAGAGGCTCCCAGAGCCACAAGAAGGCAGCCACTAGAGAAAACTTCCCAATGGCCTCCTTCATGCCACGGTGTTTTCTGAAATCGTAGCCTCAGAGCAATGCGCACTGGCTTCTTTCCCATTTTATGAAGCTGTGCCTTCTACTCAAGCTCTTTAGCATGCTCCCTCCATCATTGCTCCCTCTCGCCCATCCTCCACCAATGCCTTTCTTGAATCTAAGAACACCACCATCGCTTAGTCCCAGACCCTGAGAGAAAACAGGATCAGAAAACAGACACATCTTTTACCTCAAGGTCCAGTGCAAAGACCAACGCCTTAAGACCAGAACCCATGGCTCCCCCCACCTTTTTTATCACAACAATATCACAGTTAGATAGCAACTCTATTTAAGACTTTGAATGTATCAGTGCAAAATTTAGAAGATACCCGAGTCACTATTTAGTTCAACTGCTCTCCTTGGTGACACCATCCTACATCATTTTATAGATGGTAGAAAAGAGGCCCTGAGCAAGGAGATGTGTTTTGCTATGTGATCTTGGCTGACCACCACTGCATGACCTAGGTCTTTGCTCTTCCAGGTCATCTCCTTCCTGCTCCTGGGCCTGATGTCCATGATGATTCCTCTGTGCACGGGCTTCGGAGGCCTCGTCGTTGTGTGCCTGTTCCTGGGCTTATGTGATGGCTTCTTCATTACCATCATGGCCCCCATTGCCTTTGAGCTGGTGGGTCCCATGCAGGCCTCACAGGCCATTGGCTACCTTCTGGGCATGATGGCCCTGCCAATGATTGCTGGGCCCCCCATTGCAGGTAAGGCTGATATTCCAGGGAGCATGTAAGCAGGGTCGTCATGTTCCTTGGGATCGAGTCCTCCTGTGCACGTCTGCTGTTGTGTCCTATCCTCTTATTCTCTGTTTACACATCCTTGTCAGAATGCATGAAACTCCCCAATCGAACGAAGCACGTGCATAGATCCAGTTTAGGGGATGAGTTTTCCGCAGTTGTGTATCTCTTTCACTGGAGTTTTACTGTAGACAACATGGTTGCTACAAGCCAAAGAAATGGGCTTTCTCTTCTTGGCCATTCTATTGGTCTTCTGTCTCCCCAGGCAAGTGATTGTTTGCCATACAGCTGGGTAAGAAGAGAAGAGAAAGTAGATCCAGGTTTTAGTCAGCTTTAGAGACACTCCCCTCTTCTAGGGGCTTCTGAACTGAATTTGTGGATGAGCTTTGAATAAGGTCAGGCCCGAGGACTAGGTCGAGGATTCTCACCTCCAGTAAGTGGCGAAGCAAAGTGGTGGCTTAGCATCTTTCAGAACGCCCACTTCTGCCTTCGCTTTCCCAGAAAGGTATTGTTGGCACCCAGGGGAACACAGGGAAGAAGGAAAAATTAGTGAAAATGAACTCTGTTTCTTTTCGATAGGATTTATTGCAAAAACCGATTCCTAGGCTAGTCGCTCCTAGGCTAGTCAATGGGGCGAACTCAACGCAGACTCTGCAAAGTCTTGTGAAAGCACTAGTTATGCTACATGACAATGGCAAGAGCTTTCCCTCGGGACAATTGGACATCAGCCAGCCTTCCCATTGAGGGAGGAGAGCTACCTAGTCGTGGAACCCGACAGTGCCCCAGAATCCCCATGCCGCTCCATTTTGTGTATTTCTCAGGCAGCCAAAGGCTCTTCTTACATTTCCTGACCAGTCTCTCTGGGCTCATGTCTGAAATGCGCCACATTACCTCCTGGAAGTGATCAGAGGAGGCCTGTGGGTCATGAAAATCACATTTATGGTGCTGGTAGCTTGGACAGTTTTGGAACTATAGGAATGGGTATAACCCTCCTGAAAGGAAACGAGAGTTTAACCGAATCGTTCCACCAAAAGACTCCGGCCCAAGTGGAGAAAAGCATGCCACGGTGAACCCAGACAAGGCTTAGCGTCCTCTTAACTACCTAGTGCTGGAATAACAGCAATACCACAACTGGGTGCTTGAAAGAATAGAAGCTGACTCTCTCACAGTTCTGAAGGCCAGGAGTTCAAATCGGGATTTTTGCTGCATTGATCCCTTCTCTGGGTCTCTTTCCTAGTTTCCAGTGATGGCCATCAATACGTGGCATTCTTTGGTATTCCTTGGTGCGTGTCCTCCCCCTGTGTGCGTGTATGTCTCAGAATCTCGTCCACTCTTTCTATACCGCAGACATGCATAACTGTAGGATGCGCTCTCCCCTTGTGTGATCCAGTAACATGACAACATGAAACTATGATTTCCAAACAAGGTCATAGTTCTGGGTAGGGATTTAACATATTTGGGGGAGACAAAATTTAATCCATGATAGCCATCTTCTGTGGAGTACTTTTAGACTATGTTCTCTCCTAACCCTAGAGGGATAGGAAGTTTGCTGGAGCTGTGGGAAAGTCACAAATGAAGAAAATTGAAGAGAAGCTTCATCAACTTCATTCATAATGAGTATTAGCCCCAAGAGCCTGAAGCCCTCGTACTTCTGAGAGATTTTATTTCTGCCTTCTAGAAATTCAGAAGGCTTCGGAACTGTACTGGCCCCTACAAAAGGCGGAGAGCACTTTGGGGTAGTAAGGCAACACTGAGCCTGACTTGCTTTTTCTTGACTGTTGCAGGCCTTCTTCACAGCTGTTTTGGGAACTACCACGTGGCCTTCTACTTTGCCGGCGTGCCCCCCATCATTGGGGCTATAATCCTGTTCTTTGTCCCACTGATGCATCAAAGGATGTTCAAGAAAGAGCAAAGAGATTCCAGCAAGGATAAGATGTTGGCACCTGACCCGGGCCCCAACGGGGAGCTGCTGCCAGGCTCCCCGACTCCTGAAGAACCCATCTGATGTCTCCTTTTTGTCATTGTGTGCCCTTCCCCAGTCCTTCCCCATTCACCCTGCTCTGCTCAGCATTTGCATTTTTGCCACCAGCACACTTGTTCCCAAACCTGTGCACATAGCGTTTCAGTCACCCAGCCATCCCCCTTGGAGCCAAGACTCTCGGTATTCTGATCTCATCAGCCCAAATTTCCCCAGGAATGCCTTTTAACGTGGCGGGACCCTTCTCCTCCCAGGACATGGGGAAGCTTGAGGCCATCCCCTGGGTTGTGGGACTTCTCCATATATTTTCGAGCCTCCTGGCGGAGAAAGGGGGCAGGACCTTCTGGCCCAAGCTTGTTAGTCACCTACTGAAAGCAATTCCTAAAGGTGCTACTATGTCCCTAAGAGCCTAGTGGGGGAGCCTCCAGCCTCTGCGTTCGGAGGTGTTTACTGCCATCTGTCCTTGTGAGCTGTAGGCTAGGGAAGCAAAATGAAACAAGAGCCTTGTTTGGCCTCCGAGGCTCTGAAGGCTGTGGCTCTGTAAGATCTGTGGGTGGCATTATTTTACAAGGGCACAGGCAGGCTCCCTGTTACACAGCTGGGTAATAGTCTACTTCCTTCTTTGCTGCCTTTTTCCTCTACCACCTCCTCCTCCTTCTCTTCCTATTTTTTTGTAACTGCCTTAGACACATGGGTATTTGGAGAAAGGAGGAGCCCAGGGCTTCAGCCAATTCACCTCACCCTGGCCCAGCCTACTCTGACACTAGCATCCATCCCCCACATCTCAGGCTGAGCCACATCTCACGTTTTGGCTCAAGCCGATCCAATCATAGACTGGAAAAGTGGACTATCCTCTTGGGAGGTGACCTTAAACAGCATAGAGTTCCGCTGACCACCAATTCTACAGACTTCTCAGGCCGATGCATTCACTTGGAGGCCCTCATGGTTCCCTAGCCCTGTCAAAATGTGAAGAATCTCCTTTCATCTCAGCAGGGAAAGGAGGACCGATGCAGGTAGATGGCATGGTGGTGGTGGTGGGTGGTGGTGGGGATTGAGGCAGTCCTTATCACCATAATGAAGGACCAACTATTTCATCTCTCATTACTCATGACACATCAATATTTCTACCTGGGCCAGGTCAAGGAAGGGGCTGCTTTAAGAAAAATCCCATTCCCAACGTTGATCCCCAAATGGCTCAGGCAGCATATAGCGTTGGACATTTTCTTTTGGGAAGGGAATCCATCCTAAACTTTACCCATCCTACCCCACCCATTGTGTCTGCAGTACCTGCATACTCTGGCCCATTCTGTTTAGGAGGTTCCCACATCCCCATTGGGGAGTAGACATGCCAGGAAGGTGAACTCTAGACCATCTTCATTCCTCTGAAGTAGTTCCCGACTGCTTTTCTGTGCTCAGGCTGTGGGCAACCATCTTGGTGAAGAGCATTCCTAGTGCCCTGGCCAAGGGCAGAGGGCACTGCCAGGCAATATCTAACTTGCACAGCTCAGCTCATTAGGGACGCAGCCTCTCTCTTCATTTAGACTCTTTGTATCTTTTCCCCCTTCTCTGATCCTTTGTCTGTTGTGTTCCTATCACCCCAACCTGTCATCATCTGTTTGTCAGACACCCCTGGCTGTCACTAGGAGCCAACAGTGACTTGCCACCCCCAGCCAGAGCCATCCTGGGGACAGGAGGAGAAGGTTGCTCCTGAGGGGTTTCAAATGGGACAATGGTCCACACACACACTTTTTTTTTCCGTTACAAACAGGCAGCTGGGGAGTATTTGGCCCCCGATGGTTTCATTCAAGGCCCAAGTCCTGAGCCCCCTATGTTGGTCCCAATCCAGCTCTTCTCAACTCCTCAAAGGAAGACATACTGGTTCTTGGCTCTTTGGATGAGAAGGGGCCTAGTTAGTATCTTGTCAGCTTGAACAATAGTGGAGCAAAATAAACTGGGCCCCCAAATTTCTGTAACTCCCAGGAAAGCCCTTTGGAAACACAGGAGTAACAAAGCCCCCCCCCCACTTCCATTTCTCCCTGCCTCACATCCACTGTGTCCCCAGAGAGTGGTTCTTCTGGGCCTCGGTTGTCGGTCATGGTTCTGGTAGCCCGTAAGAAGCAAGCTGCCTCCCATTCCTCTCCAGAAGAAGGAAGGACATTAACGGGGCCCAAATCTGCCCCTTCAGATAAGGTGGGGGTGTCAGTTTATTTCTTCCACACATGTGCATAGGCACACGTGGGCTTGTGTGCTTTAGGAGAATGCTAGTTGGCAAACGCAGCACAGTATTAATACTTAGGGTAGGAGGCAGTCTTTTATGCGCCGCAATTAAATCTAGGAGAATGAACAAAATTGGGGAGCTTGAGACCTGGGATATTTAAATCCTCAAGGGGTTTGGAACAAAATAAACTGATCTAAACATCTAATTTTTGTGTGTACATTACCTATAAGGGTGAAATAATCTTAACCTGCTTAGCACCAGGATTGAAATGTCACACTGTAAGTCAAACATCTGCCAGGGTCTATGTGCTCCGTGAGAACAGAAATTGGAATAAGAGCTCTATAGGGCCTTGGAGATGGGTAGACTGATCAGGATGAAATAAAGAACAGTTACCTCGCAAAATGAGAACATGGTTACTGGTTGAGTCGGAGTGGAGGCCCCCAAAAGACTACCACATTGCTGTTACGCACATGCCACGCTGAAAATTGGCAAAGACCTTAGCCATAGTCCAATCAAACTCTGTTGTTCTTTTCCTTATGCTATTGGCGAGGAACCTAAAGGGACTGATATTGATCAGCCACATAGTCAGGCCATGACAGCCATTGAGGAGGCTATAAAAGAAAGCCATAAAGAGGTCCAACCTCTGCACCGAGTTCAAGTGAGGAAACTGAGACCCAGGGGAAGGAAGGGATTGCCAGAGGATCACACGGTGTATTGGTCAAAAAGTAGGCTGAGACTTGAACTCAGTCCAATCCAATCTCTGCACTTGACAGATAAGGAAACATGCTGGGTAGACTAGAGAAAGAAACCTAGGGAGATGCTCATATGTGCATAAGAAAGAGCTTTATATAAATGAGCAATTGGATATTGAGAAAACATCCCAGTCCAGATCAAGTCCATAAATTTGATATTACCCCATATGTCAATACCAGTCCATAAATTCCTCTTTAGACTCATGCAGCCATACAATGGCATTGAATGCAGGAAGATCACAGGCCAGTGGGTGGAAAGTCCAGTGGCAGTGAAAGCATCTCAGTGCTGGCGTGGGTCTCCATGTGGCTCCTCCAGCTCCAGGGCTCTGGCTGCATCGGCATAGTCTCATCTGGCTTGTCAACAAAAATGTCTTGCAGAGAGTGAGTGTGTATCTGGCCTCCAGTGAGCTCTTTATCCTCATTTGCACCTCCCAAATGAGGTAATCAAACTGTGTCCTGATTGACAGGCTAGACTCCACCCCTTCGCAATTTGACACCAGATTATGTAACTACCACACATGCCAAGGAGAGGTAACTGACTCGCTCACTTCATTCATTCAACAACTATGTAGTGAGTCCATTCCAACAAGGTGTAAGCCTTGAACAGCAATGAAAACTGAGCAAAATCTGACTTTTAGCATACTCTCTCTTTTCATCATTATCTCTGCACCTCACTTTCTTTTCTCAAGCATCCCAGACCTCCATGCAGTTTGGAATTTGATAAACTGGTCTCACTTGCCCTCCACCTCAAACAAGTTAATTTCCATAAAACCATACAATGGATGGGGAGGGGGTAAGGCAGCAGTTCTCAACCTGTGGGTCTCGATACCTTTTGGGGTCGAACGACTCTTTCACAGGGTCGCCTAAGAGCATTGGAAAACACATATTTCCGATGGTCTTAGGAACCGAGACACTGGTCCTCTATCCGTCTCTAGGCGGGTCTGCCCACATGCAGATACGCCCACCATGCTACATCATGCTTCAAGACAAATTTTCATTTATTTGTAATTAGAAATAAATATTTCACAATATGTAATTACACATTGTTTTTGTGATTAATCACTATGCTTTCATTATGTTCAATTGGTAACAATGAAAATTCATCCTGCATATCAGATATTTACATGATGTTTCATAACAGTAGCAAAATGATAGTTATGAAGTAGCAATGACAATTATTTTGTGGTTGGGGGTGGGAGGGTCACCACAACATGAGGAACTATATGCAACGGTCGCAGCATTAGGAAGGTTGAGAACCACTGGGGTAAGGGAACAGGGTTGGGCTTCCTTTAGTAGAGAGTGCTTCCCACTCAGCTTTTGGATACTGGAATTTCTTCCCCCATTCCCTGCCAGACACCCAGCCTCCTCATCTCCTACTGAGGCTTATTACAACACTACTTAGCCTCAGATTCTCCCACCCAAGGTCTGCTGCCTCCTCAGTACCTCAGCCAGGAGCCTGAAGGCTTGAGACTGTTTGATCACCCAAAGTCATCGTTAGATTCCACATCTGTTAAATCCCATCATTTGTAAAGCCATATACTCTTCTGAAAAGGCAGCCGGTAGCTCTCTACCTCGTCTCCACTGCGGGAAATAGGAGCTTACGGGTGTTCCAAGAAAAACCCTCCTATTTGATAGCTAGTGTCGAGGTGCTGTTGAAATCAGTCTTTGAGACAGGTTCTTGAATTCTTGACCATTGAACCTGAAGAAGACACAGCAAAGGTGCAAAGAAACGGACCAGAAACAACTCCTGCAGGAGTCGAGGGGCTTTGCTTCAGAAAGCCCTTTGATTCCTTCCTTTCACCTTCCCCTCGTGGTCACCAGGAGCCAGAACTCCCTGCTTGTTCTTCAAGTCGCTTCAGCAACATCTTCCAGGGACCTGCTACATGTAAGGAACTCCGCTAGAACTCAGAGCCTTCAAAAATGAAAGGACTGAGATGGAGGAAGCATTCTATAGCATGTCCTACGTTCTTTTTAAGATAGTTTTCTCTCCTCTGGGCTCCAGTGGTGCAGAGTTTACCAATCTAGGCACCCAAGCTGTCATCTATGGAAGAGGACAGGGCCACCTACACGCCCATCAGGACAGAGGCTATGGAACTCCCCCTCCCCAACCCCGCCTCTCCCCACGACTGGCCTCCCTGAAGCCAAAGCCAGACCAAAAGACTGCCACAGTTGTAAGAGTTGGTTCATTGCTGAGCAGCAGCAGAGACTGAGTCCAGGGGAAGGCCGATCTGACCCAGACCACTCTCCCACCTGTGCCCCCCAAGGTGAAGACAGCACCTGGGTTGTGTCCAAAGTCCAGTGCCTCCTGGTTGCCAAGCTCCCACCGTGGATTGTGACCACAGCGGAGGAGAAGGTAAACTAGCAACCAGCCAGGCGACATCTCTTGGGGGATTTCATCGCCCAATTCTCCTACACACGGTGTGGTCACTGAACTCACCTGCGCAAGGGCCCCAGTGACTCTTGGTCTTGGATCCGGAATTCAGGGAAGGGCGGGGCTGTGGGTATGGGGAGAGTATTACAGCACGCCTGCCCTCCTTTTCCTCGGCACACCCCCACTCTCAATGCCAGGGACCCCAGGCTGGGGGGCTTCAATGGGTACTTTTCCCGCCAGGTTCCCACGCCCACTCAGGGAATGACTGGGGGCTGAGAAGGAAGCCCCTGGGCCCTGGCTGCTGCTGCTGGTCCTATCCGTGGTCTCGAGTCTCCTCAGGGGACCTTTCGTGGCTCTTCCCAAGCCTGCATACATCACATCTCATCTAGGAGGAGTGATAACCCTGCAGGACATGGCAGGACAGTGCATCTGTTCCTGTTATGGAGACAGGAACCCTACTCGTGCCCAGACCCCGAACCGTTCCCTCCCACAGGAGGGGGGTTGGAAGGATGGCAAGGGAGCGGAAGGGGGCGAGGTTTGGAGGGCGTGGGGATAGGGGAGGAGGAAGCGGGAAGCCGCGGGGGCCCTGCTTTCTGTCCTGCAAGCCAGAAAGAATCCGCAGCTGCTGCCGTGACCAGGGATCAGTGTTCCTGACAGCTCTCCTCCCCACCCCCACCCAGCACAACCAGAGCTCCCGCGGGGATGACGCCCTACCCCGAGGTTCCATCAACCCCAGAGCCCATGATGTGCTTCAGACGCTGTGCGCCTGGCCTCCCAATTAAGGACCTAGGTGATTCTAAAAGAAGGCTCCTTTGGGGGCATGGGGTTTGTGAAAGGAAGGCCACCCGGAAATGCCTTCTCCACAAGCAACCTTCCCCCTCTGCCCCCTGCCCCAGCCTCTTGCCCCCTAGGCAGAACTTCAGCGCCTCCTCCTAGGCCGAGGACAGCCCAGTGGAGCTGGTTTTGCCAAAGGCTTGACCCACTCCTCAGCCCTCCTCGTCTCCATAAAAATTACCCCCAGAGCTCTTCGCTCAGGCTCATCCGGCAACCTCGTAATGTCTGGATCCCATCCAGGAGGGAGGGCAGCTCTCCACCATCACCTGCACTGATTCGCACACTTGAACGAGAGGGAGTCCCTAGGCTTGGAAATCTTCCCTCGAATCTAGACAGGAAGAAGAACGAGTTTCACTCGAAAACCTGACCCCTGCCATTTACTTCCACCCAGCATCCTTCCACGAGATTCTTCACCAGCCTGCCGCCTTTGGCTGCTTGACCAGGACTTGCTGGCTAGTTGAGGTGAAGGAGCGAGTTTGGATAACCAACTGGCCCTTCTAAGACCCCAAACAAAGGATTATTTGGGGGGCCCAGTCTTGGGGAACTTTCTGTCTTAAGGCCTTGGTAGTGGGAGTCCTGTTCAGGACAGAATTCCCCCCTCTCCATCTGCTATATTCCAGCCTTCCTGCTCCTCCCTCTTTCTTTCTTTTTTTTTTAAAACATTTTATTAGGGGCTCATACAACTATTATCGCAATCCATATACACATCAATTGTGTAAAGCGCATTTGTACATCATTCTGAAAACATTTTCTCTCCACTTAAACCCCCATATTAGGTCCTCATTTTTCCCCTCCCTCCCCGCTCCCCCCTCCCTCATGAGCCCTTGATCGTTTATAAACTGGTATTTTGTCATATCTTGCCCTGTCCGACGTCTCCCTTCACCCACTTCTCGGCTGTCTGTCCCCAGGGAGGAGGTCACATATAGTTCCTTGCAATCGGCTCCCCCTTCCCTACCCATTCTCCCTTTACCCTCTCTGTTTCGCCACCCACACCATTGGTCCTGCAGGGCTCATCCGCCCTGGATTCCCTGTATTTTCAGCTCCTATCTGTACCAGTGTACATCCTCTGGTCTAGCCAGACCTGCAAGGCCGAATTCGAGTCATGGTAGTGGGAGCAGGGAGGAAACATTTAGGAACTAGAGGAAAGTTGTATTTGTCATCGTTGTTACATCGCCCCCTGACTGGCTCATCTCCTCCCCGAGACCCCTCTGCAAGGGGATCTCCAGTGGCCTACTAATGGGCTTTGGA